TTGTTGAAAAAAAAAAAAAAAAACAGATAACAACAACCACAACAATATTAAACAAGTTGGTCTGAGGTATAAAGTGATTGCCTTTTTGCTTTTTCTTCATCCTTTTGCAAAAGGTTTTTTTTTTTGGGTAAAGGCTTTTGCAAAAGTTTTTTTCTTTTGGGTAAAGGCTTTTGCAGAAGTTTCTTTTTTTTCGGTAAAGGCTTTGGCAAAAGTTGTTGTCATATATCCACCAGGATTCCTTTACGAAGAAAAAGTAAATTCTTTTTAAAAAGAAAAGTAATCACTTTTTGAAAGTTTTAAAAAGGAAAAATTGAAAGTTTAGATTTCTTCGAGGGTAGGTAGTGTTAGCGCTACAAGCCTAGTAGCTTTTTATATTAGGATTTTAATGGGGTCCAAAATTTACTTTTCATATGATTAACTACTCCAATACCTTTTGATCGTTTTCAATAAAATCCTTGCATTTATGTTTTCCCTGTCCAAATTGAACATAATGTATTCCAAAAGAAAAAAAAAAATTAAAACCCCAAAGGTTGAATGCACAAGTAAATAAATATTATTTTATAGGTTAAGTTAAAAATTTAAGTTTTGTGATCAATATTTAAAAAAATTAATTCCCATGAGCATACCAAATCATTGTAAGAGTCCCCTTAAAATTGTCCAGAGAGTAATTAGTTTTTAAATGCATGAAAACTAACTTAAGAAAACCCTAATTGTAAATACCAAAAAAAAAAGAAAAAAAAAAAGAAAAAGAAGAGAAGGTAGATTATCACTGCATAGGCAACATATATATTTTTTCTTAATGAGAACAATGCCTCCAAATTAGAGAAAAATGCTTAATTTTGTTATTTTATAAGTTTTTCCTTCTAAAAGATATTGCAATTGTAATATCCATGTAAGCACCAGAGTGATGCCTATGTGGACATTTTGTATTTATTTAAATAAAAAATTCTTATGGTCTGAATAGGAAAAGCATAATGGAAGTACTCAATTAATTGAAAATGTTTTAAAGTGTTGGGAACCAAATGAAATGGAAAAAGGGTTTAAGACTTAATTGAATCCCAATATATGGTTAGGGATCAAGAGCTAACACTCTTCCTTTCACTATTAAAAGGAATAAAAAGACCTAAGGAGTGGTATACCTCAATTACTCGGTAAAGATGTTTGCTTTGTAATTTGTTAACTACTGTTTGATTCTTTGGGAGGCAAATGAGAAATAATTTCTTATGAATTTTCTCATTATAGCATAGATGACTTGCCTTTAATTAAATTATGAAAGAATTAATCTTAATATGCAACTAAACAAAGAACATCTTGAATTTAAAAAACAGAAAAAGTAGAAAGCAAATATTACTAAATTTGTCTCAAAATAATTATCTTTTTTACCTTTTCTCTAAAATAAGAATTTGAGAATAATTTTTATATTTATTTATATTACCCTTAAAAAAATTAAAAGATAAAGACACTTTTTTTGATAGGATAATTGATTAAAATAAATAAATAATGATATAATTAAACAAGAAAAAAATATTTATGTACTTAAAAAATAATTAATTTAAAATAAACTCAAAAATAAAAAATTATTATTATTTTAAAGTAAAAAAAGTAGGTCGGTTGTCTCTTTGTTATTCAACTTTTGGGGAATAATTGGTTAAGTCAATAGAAATTTGGTGGCAAGGAAAGGCTTAAAGGGGAAGAGAATTTGTTCCCCGTGCTATTTGTCTAGTGATTGAGATAGCTACTTTGCCCATTCCAGTGCCCTAAAAATATGGACAACCTTTTCTTTAGTGAAGTGGTTTCATCAGATAAGATACTTTGCATATTTATTAGTGGGAGCAAGACCCCAACGGGCAACATGTCTTTGCCACTTTTTTCCTTTTCGGCCGCCGCGCAAAAACTTATTTTACCCTCTCACCTTATCAAGTTTGAAGGTAATAGTTTCTTATCTTATATTATAACACTTTTAATCCATCATATTCCAAGATGGCAATTCTACTCGTTCTCCATGGACCCTGCGAGGATCCCCGCCATGGGGATGGGGCGGAGAGGAATATTCCTCTTCGCGGGGTAGGGATGGGGACCATTTTTCCCTCACGAAATTTCATGAGAAGTTTTCCCCGTTCTGTGGGGCCCCAAGGGTATCCCCATTCCGGCAAAAAAAAAAAGTTTTTATTTTAAAATTAATTTATTCTTTAAACTCAAACCCAAATCCAAACCCAAATCCAATCCAATTACAATTAAATTTAATCCAATACTATCTAACCCAACCCATTCCCATATATCTAATCCTAACCCTAATTTATTTTAATTCTCATCACTCTCAATCTCTTTGTCTACAGCTCACCCATCTCTCACAATCTCACCTTCATCTCACCTTCTCAATTTCCTCTGCTGTAGCTATTGTCGAAGCTTGTTGTCGAATCCATCTCCTTTGTTGTTGCTGAAGCCATCTACTCTGCTATTGCCGGATCCATCTGCTCTGCTGCTACTGCCGAAGACATCTGTTTTACTACTATTGCTGCCGAGCCGAATCCATCTCCTCTGCTGTTGCTGAAGCCATCTACTCTGCTGTTGCCTGATCCATCTGCTCTGCTGCTACTGCCGCAGACATCTGCTTTGTTGCTACTGTTGTTGCCGCAGACATCTACTCTGTTGCTACCGTTGTTGCCGCAGACATCTTCTCTGCTGCTGCTGCTGCTGTCGAAGACATCTGCTCTATTACTGCTACTGCTGCCAAAGCCATCTGCTCTGCTACTGTTGGATGCATCTGCTTTGCTGCTGCCGAATCCATCTGTTTTGCTGCTATCGGATCCATCTACTCTGTTGTTGTTGCTGCCGCTAGAGCGATCTGCTGCTACTACCTAAGCCATCTGCTGCTGTTGCCAGAGCCATTTGAAATTAATTGGTGGGGAATGGGGATCCCCATTCCCTGCAGGAAACAGGGATGGGGGGCAAAACTGCCCCCCATCAAAAATCCCCGTGGGGATCCTTGTCCCTGTGATTTGCGGGGACGGGGATGAGGAGGGGCTCCTCAGCCCTGCGAGATTTCGTTGACATCCCTACTCATATTACTTAATTTATAGGTTTTAGTCCCTCACTTATTAAAATCGAAAAAAATAATCATCACTTTATACTGATTGTTAACTTTGTTAATTGAAAGTATATTTTTATCAACTAATAGTCAACTAATAGCTAATTAACAGAATTAATGAAATATTATAAAATTAGTTATGTTAACTTTATTAGCTGAAAGAAGATTTTTGATAACTAGCAGTCAACTAATAGTCAGCTAATAGAGTTAACAGTCAACTAATAAAATTAATAAAATGTTACAAAATGAGTGTTATTTTCTTCAATTTTAATAGGTGAAGGGTCAAAAGTGTTATAGTATAGGATGAGAGACTAAAATCCACAAATCTAATAAGTTGAGGGGCTCAAAATATTATAATATAGGTAAATAACTAAAACCTTTAAATTTATTAAGATGAGGGACTAAAAATAAATTTTTACCGATCGCTGCTACCTTAAACTTTTTCTTTCACAAATATCCGGGCAGACGGGGAATTTGCGATAAGTACTACTTTTTCTTTTCCCTTTGTTT